GCACCGGGCTTCATTTATCTATACCTAAAATGCTACATTGTTCTTAATATTCCTATATACTTTCAGGAGGAAGGAGAGCATCTGGGTTAAACTGATTATATTCAGAGGTGGTTTAATGGGGCTGCCACTGATCAACCCAGGGTCTGCATATGTTGTCCCCAGCAGTATATAATAGATACAACTAGTATAGACATATATGTAAGTAAAGTGAAGAAACAAATTGAAACTTATAAAGGTCATTTTACTTTTTTTTCATATAAAATATACTTTAAAATTAATCTTCAATTTTGTCTTACAGAATAATAATAATTTATATGGTCATCAAACATTTTTCATGTGTATTGAAGATACTTCTGGAAAGTCATTTGGTGTTTTTTTAATGAATAGCAATGCAATGGGTAAGAATAATCTGATATCATGTTTAGTAAGGTTACCTTGAAATGGCTTAACTGTTTTCTTCATTTCAATCATAGATAAATGTATGTCCCAGTAAACTTTATTGCTAATTATTTTGGCATGTGAATTAATAAGCAAGTTTTTTTGAAGTTAGTGAGAGTTTGCTCCACAATGTTATATGTATTATGACATTTAGGTACTTTCTTTTCCTTTTGAACAAATTTGCAACATTTAAATATATTCATGAAAATGAATATCCCAATTTCCATAACTTCATTTGTCAAGATAAGTTGATATGTTATTGCATATAAAAACAAAACAGAACAGGGTTGGGGGAGAGAAGAGTCATTTTTAAATTACCATAATTCAAAAATAATATAGAATCTTTGTTGCTTTAAATATCTGTGTTTAATAAGTAGAGGAGGTGTAGCCAGTTAAATGGTTGATTACCAACTGGAAGGTTGGTGTTTCATAACTTCCTAGAGATATCCCAGAAGAAAGGTGCAGTTCTACTCTGCACATGTGATGTCACCATTAATCAGAACTGACTTATTGGCAACTGGTTTGGTTTTGGGTTTGGTTTAATAGGTAAATCATCAGTCATAAACATCTATAAAAATGAATAATGTTCCCCCAAGAACAGACCTTTAAATGATTCTCCTGGCAAATAGTTGAAAAAGTCCTCTTAAAGTAAAGATACTACCCTGAGAACTAAGGTGGGCCTGAACCAAGACACAGTATTTGCATGCAGCCACAGAAAAACATGACATCAAGTCTATTCTGATCATGACTACCCCATTTATTTTAGATCAGAACTGGGTTCCATAGTATTTTCAATGACTATATATTATATATATGAATATATATGTTTTTATTATGAATTATGTGATAGCTTACATGGGAGAACATCAACTCTATACTCATCCTATCACATATCTTTTCATTGCCATGGTTACAAGCACCTCCATGCATCATCAACCAACCAAAGGGTACACTCCGCAAGCCTGTCCCTTGGTCGTCAGTGCACAGACCCTCTCCCTTTCTGGGTCTAGAGTCCCTAGACAATCCTGGACTGCAAAAGTCAGCCACTCCCCTCCTTTTGCTACAAAATGTCAATGACTATAATTTTTGAAACAGATAACCAGACCTTTCTTCTGAAGCTTTTCTGGATGCATTCCAAAGGTCAACCTTTTTATTAATAGCCCAGTGCTTTATCATTTGTGCCACTCAATCACATGTCTTAAATGTGTAATTGTTCTTGCATGGCTTCAAGTCAGTTCTGACTCATAACAACACTGCATAGAGTTGTGGAAGAGTGCCTACTGAGTTTGAACTACTGACCTACTGTTAAGCAATCCAGTGCTGATCCTACAGCAAGCACCACACCATAGGACTTCTGTCATAGATATTAAAGAGTTAATTCAAAATCTTTCTGTTTAGTTTTTTTTGTTTTCTTAGAAATTAATATTACTAAGAGTACAAGACTCTTCAATTAAAATATCTCATTGGTGTGCACATTTTGAAGTAAAGATTTTTGATATTTGAGGACCAATACCCTACCCCTTACTGTGTATTTTATAGGGGAGCTTTTGCTAATATCTGTATGTGGGAACATCTGGGATATCCTATCATTAGCCTCATGCATGTTGGCATTTTGCTTTTCCCTATTTCCTTCACATCATCATTATCTTATTTCCTCTTAAATATTTTTAAATGTCTTAAAAATAACATGACTAGTAAAAAAAGTACTTTAAATAGGATGCTAAAATTATTTGATATCAATTTTATGATTTTCTTATGCTTTTCCAATTTTATTTTGTAGAAATTTTCATCCAGCCTACACCAATAGTAACTTACAGAGTTACGGGTGGCATTCTGGATTTTTACATCTTTCTCGGTGATACTCCAGAACAAGTAGTCCAACAGTATCAAGAGGTGTGTTTCATGTTTATTTTATAAAATTATTTTTTCTCTGATTTTATTTTTCCTATTGTTGTATTTACTTATATTTAACTGACTTTACTTTAGTTACCTAGGGCTTCTTATCTGTAAATATTTTTTAAATTATGCCGTTTTTCATAATTAAGTAGTTTTTTCACCATTCATGAGACAATTTGTTGTATTATGGTAGCTTGCATGTTGCTCTGATGCTGGAAGCTGTGCTATCAGTGATTTAAATACCAGAGAGTCACTCATGGTGGACAGGTTTCAGTGGCACTTCCAGATAATGACATACTTGGTAGCTGCATAATATAAGACACTGACTGCAAACATCTATTAATAATAGGAACATGGAATGTGCAAAGTATGAATCTAGGAAATTTTAAAATAGTCATAAATGGAATGCATGAAGCTTGGTATTCTAGGCATCAGTGAGCTAAAATGAACAGGTATTGGCCATTTTGAACCTGATATGATACGGTTTACTATACCAGGAACTTCAAATTAAAAAGGAATGGTGTTGTATAAATCGTCAAAAAGAACATTTCAAGATCTGTTCTGAAATACAATGCTGTCTGTGGTAGAATAATATCCATACACCTATAAGGAAGACTAATTAATACAAAAATGGTTCAAGTTTACACACCAACCACAAAAGCCAGTGGTGATGAAATTGAAGAATTTACCAACTTCTTTTGGAATCCTGGTGTGGCTCTGCTATATAAGCACTGGACTGCTAACCATAAGACCTCTCCTTGAAAACCCTATGCAGGGAAGCTATGAGTCAGAACCAAGTCAACAGCACTTACTAACAACAATCAACTTTTTCAGTCTGATATTGACCAAACATGCAATCAAGATGTACTGATAAGTACTAGTCATTGAAATTGAAATGCAAAGGTTAGAAACAAAGAGGAAGGATCAGTAGTTTGAAAATACAGCCTTGGTGATAGAAATGATACTGTAGACCACATGATAGAATTTTGCAAGGCCAATGACTTATTTGGAATTCTTGTGTGGCACAGCTTGATAAGGCACAGAACCCTCAGGTTGGTTTGAGTCATAAGGTCAGCAGTCCAAACCCAACAGAAGCTCCTCAGAAACCCTATACAGAGTTGCTATGTATCAGACAGACTAGATGGTATTTTATAAAAACAACAAAACAGTGACTCATTCACTGCAAATACCTTTCTAAAGCAACATAAAAGGTGATCGTACTCATGGACCTCACCAGATGGAATAAATAGGAATCAAATTGACTACATTGTAGGACAAGATGGTATAAATGCTCAATATCATCAGCCAAAATAAGGCTAGAGATTGCTTATATGCAAGTTCGGCTAAAGCTGAAAAAAGAATTATAACAAGTCTACGAGAGCCAAAATAGGAACTTGAACATATCCTGCCTGAATTTAGAGACTGTCTTAAGAACAGATTTGATGCTTTAGATCCTAATGACTAAAGGCCAGAGAGTTGTGCAAAGACATCAAGAACATCATACAAGAAGAAAGCAAAAATTAATTTAAAAGACAGGAAAAAAAGAAAGAAAAAAAAATACCCAAAATGAATAATATAAGAGACTTTGAAATTTGTTCTTCAGCATAGAGAAGCTAAAGTGAGTTGAAGAAATGAGGAAGTCAAAGAGCTGAACATAAACTTTCAGAGAGTAGCCCCAGAAGACAAATTCAAGTATTATAATGAAATGTTCAAAGTCCTAGAGTTAGAAAACCAAAAGGGAAGAAAATACTCAGCATTTTTCAAACTAAAAGAACTGGAGAAAAAATTCAAGCCTCAACCTGAAATACTGAAGGATTCTACTGTCAAAATGTTGATTGATGAAGAAAGCATCAAAAGAAGATGGAAGCAATGCACAGTTATTGTACCAAAAACAAACAGTCTATGCCCAGCCATTTCAAGAGGGAGTATATGATCAAGAACCAAAGGTACTGAAAGAATATCCTTAAACTACACTGAAGGTACTGGCAAAAAACAAGGCTCCAAGAACTGATGGAATACAAATTGAAATCTTTCAACAAATTGATGCAGCACTGGAGGTGATCACTCATCTGCACCAAGAAATTTGGAAGAGAGCTACCGGCCAACATATAATTTCAACTTCCAAAAATGTTCTCAAAAGAGAAATAATTTTGTATTCTTACTGTAAGAAACAAAGCTTTCTTCAATTATAACCCAAAAAGCAGATATAAAAATAACTGTTATTTTATACATTTTGAGCACGGTGGGTTTGTGCAATAAAGCAATGGACTACAAACTATACGGTTGTCAGTTAGAGCCCACCAGCAGTACCATGGGAGAAAGATGAGACTTTCTGCACCCACAAAGATTTAAAGCCTAGGAAACTCTATGCCGTGTTGTGATGAGTTGGAACTGACTTGACAGTACTTAACAATGAACAACAATCACTTACAATGTCTAAATCGTTGATATATATGTTTGTCATAAAAAGAAACACACAAAATTTGCAATATCTACAATGTGAAATGAGTCCCTGGGTGGCACAAATGGTCTTGACTACTAGCAATATGGTAGGTGGTTCAAACTTACCCAGGGGCAATTTGAAACACAGGCTTGATAATCGGCTTTGTGAACATGATGGTGCAGTTCAACTCTGCACACATGGGTTAACCATTAGTTAATGTTGTTCATGTGAAAAATAGATAGTAGACATTTTACTGTCATTATAAATGTGAAATGGTATACAACAAGAAAGTAGATAGGTGAGGATTAGTTAAGTGCTCTCGAGTGTGTTCTGACCCATATTGACCCTGTGTAGGTTTCCAAGCAATGTCTGGTGGGTTTGAATTCTGACCTTGTGGTTAGCAGTTCAATGCTTATCCTACAGCACTAGATCAGGACTCCGAATGAGGAGTTGTTGTTGTTAAATGCTGTTGAGTCAGTTCCAACTTATAGTGACCCTGTATAGGGTTCCTTATGAGTGGCTGGTGAGTTTGAACAGCCAACCTTGTGTTTCAAAGTGACCTTGTGATTGAGTGCTATTCTTACAGAGCCTGGTATATTTAAAATGAGAGTATTTTATACATCAGTTTAGCAGTTTGAATAGAGTATATTTAGCGGAGCTTGATTTACTCATTCTAATGTTTACATATTGGGTTTTTGAACATAGATCATGAATAAAAGATAGCTCAAAAAAAAAAAGACATAGGTGCTTACCTCAAAATAAACCCAGAATGACAAATAACATTACTTACAATAATCTAATCAAATATTCATTTTTTTTTTTTTTTAGTTAAAATATATCAGTTGTACTCATATTTCCATATACAAGGTCATGTCCCTGCCATTTTCTTGAGGCACTTATTACTGGAATACAGCACATGTTTTTTCTGCTGTCCTCAGAGCTGAGGAGGGCCACCATAGGATTGGAAAAAAGAAGTCCATTTGGGTCTGGTGGGAGGCATTAAGCAAAGTTCTCTAAAATATATGAAAAAACTAGATGGGAGTTTTCTAACATAATATTCTATTAACATTTTATAAGTTAATAGAAGAAATTAAAATAAAATGAAAAAGAATGGAAACCATGTATTTTCATCATCTTTCTTTCTTAAATGATTCTTTCATTTTTGTTATTATCATAATTATGATTATGCTGCTATGGAGTGGTATGGTGAAACAATCTTATTACCTTATATTCTTTATGATAGCAAGGATATATTTTGGAAAATACTACTTTCTTGAGTTCTGCACTTTTTAATGTTTTACATACAGCATGAATACAAATAAATGACAAATATTTAAGTGTTTCAAAGCATAATTCTTAATAGAATATCCAGGAATTGTTTTAGAATACAGGTATTATTATCTCTTTATGTAAAATATATTGCTATACAGAAATGATTATTAAAATATCACATAGTAAGAAGCATAATAATATTGCTTTCAAATGCTAAATATATTTTTCTTTATTGGATCTAATACAATGTTCATTTACTTCAAGCTCACTGGACTTCCAGCAATGCCGTCATACTGGAGTCTAGGGTTCCAACTGAGTCGCTGGAATTATGGCTCACTGGATGTAGTTAAAGAAGTCGTGAAAAGAAACCGAGATGCTGGCATACCATTTGTAAGTGGAATGAAGTCATTGTGAAGATATTTATCAGATTAAATATTGTCACGTGTTAATAAATGTATAAATTGTCTGGGATATCCACCATATATTTTATTAACATTTTAAAAAATATGTAGGTTTTGTTATTCTACAAAATGAAGCATCTATCTATCTATCTATGTTGCTGTTGTTAAGTGCCATCAACTTGTTTCTGACTCACATCAACCCAGTATGTGGTTTCCAAGTAGAGAATGGCAAGTTTGAACTATCAACCTTATGGTTCAAGCCCACCTTACAGTCCTGTGCTTATCCTG